AAAGAAAAAAAAAAGAAAAAAGAAAGAAAAAAATGATAGCCCACAACGCCTCAAATGTTATTTTCGGGCGTCTAGAACACAAAAATTTCGCGGACCCCCTGGGACATTGTTGTCTCGATCGGCCCAAATTTCGCCCCCTTTTGGACATCTCTGGATCCGCCCCTGCACACACACAAAGAAGAGCAAGAAATGCAGATAAAAAGAAACAGAGGCATAGTGCATAAAACTCTGCTGAGTGCATTTGCAACAAAAGAGAGAAAAGGGGGAAAGTTCACCAAAGGTTGTACAAGGAAAAAACTCATCAAATCCTGCCCCTTGGCCAAAAAAAAAAAAAAAAACGATTTACAGAATATCTCTTCTGAAATAATTTATTTGTACATACCAGTACTACAAGCATATTATTATAAGATTAAGATAAGATAAACTTTTTTTTCTCCAAAAAAGGAAATTCGGTACTCGCATTAATATATACAACTGACATTAAAAATATTAAAACAATAATCAAATGCACTAAAATACAATAATTACTGTAGGATATCAAACAACAACCATTAAAACATTACAACAGTCACAAAGGCTCAAAAACAACAGCTAAAAGGGGGGAAATAAGACTATAAAAATATTATTTTAAATGTATTACAATATTGTTTTTTTCTCTATTATTATTATGCATTTCGATACAATGACGTGTAAACGATATTCTAACATAAATACATTCTGGTTATAAAAGCTCACCACTGATATTATATGCAGCTTTCATTGCAACAGTAAGGCCATTTTTCTGATTGTAACGAACACACCTTGTTAGATCAAGAAGGATGGGTGCAGAACCTCTTGGTATGTGTTTTGCAATATTTAGGCGATCTGTCAACCATGCTGAAAGTGTCTTATCATCACCTCCTGATAAAAAAGAAAAAATATATTGTAACTGATAGAGAAGTCAATTACTATTTGGTATGTAGTAAAGCTCTGGATATGTTTTCATGATTAAAATCCGACATTTCCTTATGAAGTTACAAGCGTTTAAAAATACAGCTGTTTACTGTACCATGTTTGAGAAATCAGCCTTCAAAGTTTACGATTTCGAGCATTTTTTAGGTAGACACCATCACCAAATTGTTTAAAATTGTTGTTTTAACATTGAAAATGGGGAAAGCAACAGCATATCATGATGTATAGATATACAGTATAAAGGTCACGTTTAGTGCAAATAAAATAGATTAAAAAAATGTTGACATTTCAGCATGTTTTAGCCATTATCTGTGAAACACGATTTGCGACAGACTGGTTTCGGCTTGTCTTTGCCACAAATGAATTTGTAGCATATTTACAATAATATAAATTATGGGTCTTCATCAAGTTTTCAAATGATAACAAAAAAAAACCATGAAAATAATGTTTGACTAGCCTCTACCCATACCTGGTGATGCAAATGCCTCTGACTCCTGCAAGGCTTCAACTGAATCCCTGACAAGAGAAGGAAAGTGTGGATCTTTCTGGAACTGCCTAAGAACTCTGAGTTCACCAGATGATGGCTTGCACTCGTTAGATGCATATGATCTGCTGTAGTAATCTGGTGATGGAATCAGGTCCTGCAAAACAATAATAAAACAATAGTAGAGGCATGGCAGCTCTATAAAATAATGACAGATAATCTTCTTGATTTTGGTATTTCAAAATGAGTGGAATATATGAAATTATATCACTAATGTTGATTGAATACAACAAAAGACAAAAGATCTTAAATTAAATTCATTTGTTTTCCAGATGATAAGGTAGATGTATTGTAGAAAGAGAAAATGTAATTACTCCAACACCAATTTCTTAATGATGAACTAAGTAAAGCATTTAACAGCATATCCAAATCTGCAACTTCAGAATAAGACAACATAAAATATGCAGAAGGAAATTGTAAAACCATTCCTTCTGATATATCAAGTTGAAAAGGATAATATTAATATACCTCTGTATGAGGTAGAATCCTGACTAGGATTGAACAGCCAGGCACTATTACAGAAGAATTTTTCAAATTCTGTTGACTTGATAAATTTTCTGGATCAGGGAGACTAGATATGACCCTGAGTTGGTGACCTCCAGCATTTAGTTCAACCTGTATGTAAAATAAGTTGAAATACAAATTAATAGAGGACATTTAAATAAAGCAATGAAAAATTATGGTATACAATTATGAAATTATGTACGCACTTATTGTTATAATAAAATATGAATATAATAATAATGGTAATAGAAACAATTTTAAATAAAATAAATCAATAATAAAATTAATATAATAAATAATAATAATTACATTGAATACACACCTTATCACCATGTGGATGAAACAGAGGTACAGTGCCACTTCCAATAGTTACCAGCTCATGAGTGTCCTTATCCACAGTGTAGAGACTCAAGACAACAATATTACTTTGTATGAAAGGACCAGACAGCATGATCCGCTGTTTGATCTCAGGAGAGCGTGCGGGTGAATCCAGGACCGGAATTCCTTGGAACTCAGGAATATGATTCAAGGTGGGAGAAACTACTTGTCCAATAATCTGTGTAGAAAAGGAAAATATGAGATGAAGTCATTCATAAATGAACCATAGAGTGCTGACTATAGGAGACGAAGCGGCAATTCAGATTTGTGTATGTGTACCATACAAGATGGCCACTGTAGGAAAGCGCCACCTTCAGGCTTAGTCTACATATTATAACCATAAATAAGCCCGACTATTATTTCATTAATCATTATTATTAATAATAATAAATTATTAAACTAGCATAGCCAAAAAGAGGCCAAGCAAAGTATCTGATTTAAAAATAAAGTACTGAGGAATGAAAATCTAAATCATGTACGTTACACCACAAAGCAACATAGCTGTACTCAAAACTTTCATGTATGTTGAGGTCGCCATTGAAACGATGCTTAGGCGTATCATGATTGGCTGAATTTACGGCAGAAATCTTGTTGAGTAAACACAGCTCTGCGTATTTTGAACATCGAGTACATTGTAGTTAGCACTCTAGTTTTCTTATAATTCTATGATACAGTTCCAATAAAATTGAGTTCCTGTCCCTAATATAGTACATGGTAGATGTACAGAGGTAGTCCTAATAATTTTACTAAATTCTGAAGCAAGCTGATGATTTTGTAAGTAAATTCTTCAATTTTTTTTTATTAGTGTAAGTCATCTCACCTTTGATATTGAAGCATTATCTGGCAGGAACCTGATGCCATCAATATAGAAGTCAAAGGTATCTTTCAAGTTGACATCTACTGGAGACAAAATGGCAGACTCAATCTGTGGCACCCAGGGAGGCTCCAAGTCATCCTCACCTTCACTAAAGTAATCATCAAAATATATGAATATAGGAACATGAAAAATCTATAATAGGTAATAGTATATTTTAAGTGATAAAGCATATTTTAAGTGATAAAGCATAGAACTGTAATTTTAGCAAACACATTACAGGATACAAGTTTTCTATATAGCATACAATCAAACTTTTTTCTAATAACAGAACACATCATAAAATGACAAGTGAAATGCAAAATAAATTTTACTGACTAATAAAAAAAATGTGAGAATTTGAGGTAAGAAAAATAATAGAGGGTTGTCTAAGGTCTCCCTTAGGCCTTCTTCCAAGATCCTACTCCTATTAATCTCTTACTTAATCTCCTAAATTCTACATTTAATGATTAAAACTTTTACCTGATCAGTGATGCAGATGATGGTGCTTGTGAGAAATCATCATCTATCATAACTTCAAATACATCTAGTATCACTTCAGAGCCTTCCTTCAGCATATCTACAGATTAAAAATCACCAATGTCTATATTGCTACTAGTATATACTATGTAGTCACTACATGCTTGTTATGATGCAAAAGTTTGTTCATCATTTTTTCTTAAGCCTATAGATTTTATTATTTTTTATTTTAATCAGAAAACATATATCATTACACCAGTGATGGTGCCAGGATTTGCCCGACAGGGGGCCTAAAGGACCAGACGGGGCCAGCCAGCGATTTTTTTTTCCGTACGAAACATTTACATGAAACTCCAATCGGGCTGTCTCGGCTGAATCGACCCGAAAATCTCATTGCAGAATTCAGGAGGTCAAAAGGTCATCAACAGATAAACGTCTACAAAACAACATCTGAGAGAACGTCTCTGTCTAATTTTTAAAAATATATTGATGTTACTATATGTTAATACCAATGGGTCGTTTAAAATGACATATAATATTTGATTAAGCTGCACGAGTAATGAAAAGTGTTATTTTAATGTAAATGTTTCGTACAGAAAAAAAAATCGCGGCCAGCCAAGTGAATGAAGCAAGCCTCACTAGGGGGGGGGGGGGGGGGGCAGCCACCTGACGGAATGTACTCGTCTTCCCCGACATACTTATGAAACATATTCATTAGTTAAGAGAAAGGCCTACTTCGACTATCCTCTTCTCCATCTTCAGGTGAGTTCACTTTAAAGTTAGGGTTGCCTGGATAAAGAGGAACAGTCTGTTCCCCACTCAAGACACTCAACATCACTGTTGTTCTCCCCTCCTGTAAAATGGTATCTGCAGCCTGCTGAGATGTTGTCGGTTGACTGGACAAATCGTCTGCTTCTTGTGTGGTGAGATTGTACAGTTTTACTCTAGCCCAGCCAAGCGGTATAGAAATACCATCTTAAACAAACGGAAAGTGTATTACTTAAATACATTACATTAAAATAACACTAAAATTAATTATACTATATTTATACTTGCATATGTAGTTCATATATAGTTTATATAGTTTTATATATCTATGTAAGTCTAGTTTAATAAACCTGGTGGTTTTTATCGATGTTGATTTTTAAACACATATACATATCTAAAAAAGATAATAACAGCAATAATAATATAAATCATTATAACAAAATAACAAAAATTAAACTTAATCATCATAATATCCCATCTTCATCTACATAATTATGTAAGCCAAATCACAAAAGGATGAAAAACAATTTTGAACCTACCATTGTCCTTTGTTGATGTACGATAGCTGATGTTGATGATGCCATATGGTTCCAGATCACAAGTGGAAATTCCTTGGTTTTGTAAGTCTTCAGCAACATCAAATATTAAATGCTCTTTGGCCATCTGAACCAGATACACCTAATAAAACACACAGGTTAATTTTTATGCAAATTATACACAGGTGAAGTGTGGTTGGGTGCCTTTCCTTGAATTTGTCACCAGTGGCATACCCAAGGAGGGGATTTCACGCCTATCACCCCTTCCCTTGCTCCCAATGCCAACACTCTTGTCAATGTTTGCCGCAAACGGTTGTTCCATACTGTATACACACTGCTGTTTACATTACCTATTAAAATCATTATGATTATTACTTACTTTTGTATCAATCTTGCCCCGTTTTCTTTGTGATTCTAAGCTAGCAAACAACATTTCTTCCTTGATCAAACGAGGAGTCTTTGTTAAGCTCTTGCTGCATATCATCTCATCACCCACAAAGAAAGACACAGTGAGTGACAGATTGCTCACTTTGAAGTCCAACAATGCTTTAAAATGCTTCTAAAAAGCAGAGAATAGAGAATATTAAATGATTAAAATATTAATATAAATATTGATGAAGAAATTAATATCAAGATTAAGTTATCAAATATAAAAAAAATAAACAAAAAATATCAATATATTAATATTGAGGCTCTATAAACAAGTCTATATAGATTGGAGTATTGGAAGTGCTTTCAAACTCCCGAAAAATCCACATTAATGTTACTTACTTGAGGCAGTTTGCCTTTGGGTAAAGATTGCCTCATGATTAGCTTTAGTCTGAAGTATTTCAGTCCAACAGCAGTCAGCTTTTCTTCTTCTTCCTCCTCCTCCTCTGGTTGTGGTGACATCTGTAATTCTTCCTCCTCTTCCTCAATTTCTTCTTTATCATCTTCAACATTTTCTGGCAACACAGGCTTGGTAACACTGGAAAATAAATATGAAATGCTATCATAAAAATATTATCTATAGGTATGTTCAGACGAGTGAGAAATAAGCTTTAGAGTAGCAGTTTACTTGTCGTAAGCCCTGGGTGATGCCCGTAAGGACAATCTTTGTATTAAGTTAATTCCAATTTACTAAAGACGACATGCATCATTCACATCATACTCTTGTTTGGATAGACTCTTGCTTCAGGATACAAGCAATATGGCCACTGTCAGACTTGAATTCATGACCAATGAGACGTTCCACTAAGTCCACTCCTTGGATATTAGAGAGCTTTCAATTTGATTGAGATTTTCACTCATACTTGACCATCCTATGGTCTCTGCACAACACAGATTTGGTAATATTGCATTCTGGAATCCACAGGGCATGGAGAACTTAACGTTCTCGCATGCGCAGATGACTTTTTAGTGAGGTCATTACGATCTACTGTGTGTCGTGCAATGGAAAGTTCCCTAATGTTACTATGGTGTCGGACATTAATGAATGTAAAATGTACATAAACTTGTATGTTTGTGGGACAAGCACATCTATCATTCACTTAAAAGGTAAAGGGTTGGAACCCATAACTCGCAGCGTAATTGTGCTAAATTGCCTATGGACGTGGTTTGTGACTACCAAGCAGCCGTAAAGAGGCACTTACAGTAGCTACATGTTAACATCATTTCACAACAGGGGCTGAAATGAACCATAGCATCGGAGTAACCCCCACTTTTCCGAAAGACGCAACAGGTTCTTTAGAAGTGCACACGAGCCAGATGTGACATTACACTGGACCTCCATTTTAAGTCCTTATCCGAGACACTTGGTTCTACCAACTGCACACTGGGAAAGGAGCGGCTTGACTAGCCTCGATGTTAAGACTGTAATTAGCGTCACCCCTGCCTTACCGCTCAGCCACTCGACTTATTTTTTATATTATGAATATTGCATAATTAAGCATCATACCTATGCCAGTGCCGGTTGAGGTCTGGTATATGCTTGGGGTCATCCCCTCTGATTAGATGCTGGTAACCTCTTACAATGTCCAATGTGTAAAGTTTAGCAGGTAAACATGTAAACACCTATATTCAAACATGATGTAGAATTGAAAGAGAAATGTTAAGAAATATTGAGATTTGTTTTCCTACATTGATAGATATGCCTGACCAAATCATATGAACAAAAACTAGCACTATTTACCTGTTTAACTTCATTGTAGTTGTTAGTCAACATGAAGTCATACTTAAGCAAGAGAAGCAGAAGAAGGCAGACATCTTGTAGGACCTGGTGGTCCCATTGCTGCATGAAGCATTGGTCCCAAACATATAGTACAGCCTGAGAATCCAGCACACCAACAAAGCCCTGATAGTTGCAAAAATACATTTTACATACATTTGTATATGACCCCTAAATTGGAAATTCTGAACAAATCTTACAGAATGAATAATATATTAAAATATTTTTTAATGATTTTAGTACAAAAAAGTAATTTTTGTCAAATGTTGATTCAAAATTAAGTAGTTTTTTGCATTTTACTCTTTTGGATAAGCTAACCCATGGCTGACTTGAGGCAACATTTTGGCAAAAATAAACAGGCCCTATTAAGATGGCCTTTGGATGGAGTACTTTTCAAGATGGGCTTCTTTTCAAGGCAACTTTTGCAAAGTAAATAGGGAAGCTTGTTTTCAAATGTAAATTTTGGGAATTACCACTATACCTGTATGAATGTAGGACATAAACCACCCAGGACATAAACCACCCAGGACATAAACCACCCAATTGGAATATACCATTGTTAAAGTGGGTGGGCAACAGGGTGAACAATTTATCTGTTTTATCTAGCTTTACAATAGGACTTAATTTGCTATTGTACACTCATATTATACGCCTTTAATTCATTCATTTCTTCTGACAACATGCATGTTGGTTAGTAATCATTGTAG